AATGGCATCTGTAGTCCAAACCTCTGAAGTAGTCTGTACAGAATCTCAATGGCTTGTTGCAGCTTCTCAGCCGAGTCTATTAGTATGGCTAGATCATCCACATACCCAAGCCATAACAAGGATAAGACCCCGGAACTTCTCTCTTCTGTTCGCTGTGCACGGTTTGTTGCTTCATTGTGTATTCTTTATTGCAATTAAATGTGAAGGCTTTCCTGTTGGCATTCGTGTTCAAATATGCGTAGTATGAAGTCCAAGTACAGATTGAAACAGTAAGGACTCTTACATCCACCTTGTCTGACTCCACTAGTTGTGTTAAAAGCCTCATCTTTATCTTCTCCAGTCATAACAGAATAGGTCTCGGTGTAGAAAGACTCTAATAGGCTAAGTAATAGTTAGGTTCTTGTCATTACTCGCGGTATCCAGTCAAATGCTGCTTTCAGGTCTATAAATCCAACGTATATATCTTCTTCCTTTCATAGAATATTTGCTGCACACGTCTAAGGCAGTAAATGGCATCATGAACGACTTAATAACTATAAACCTCGTCGAAGTTCCATCACTTAATTATGCCCTTCTTTCATTCAAAATCCTCCTAAGAGGTGTTCAAATGCTGCATTTGGCTCGCTGCAAAAGGAAAAAGCTGCTTTTGCTGGCTTACGTTTTGAGAAGACGGCGGCATCGGAAGAACAGAGTCGTTAGAAGAGCTGGGTCGTGGAATCGTTCACAACTATTTTTTGACCAGCTTTTGTGTGGCAGGCTTCCCAAAGATATGTGGGAAGAGCATTTCAGTGTTCTATCTTGGTGTGCGAATTCAAATGAACTAATAATTACCTTGGAATAACCTTGCCAAGACTGCTTTAGTTAAAAACGAAGAGGATTACTCTGAAGGTACGTCTTAACTTAGCTGGAATAACTTCATTGTGTGTTAAAAGCATCAGGCAAAAACAACACTCATCTTAGAAAACTGCTAGGCACTGGAGGTCCGACTTCCATGTCTTTCTCTCTGACTTTCCATACTCATCTCTGGGTATCTGGATAGTCATATCTATTTTTAGATTTTGAATATTTAGAGTTTATCAAATAGGCACACTGATCTGATTTTGTGTTTTTGAAAGTGGTTTTCTTAACATCTTATAGGATTCTATTATTATATATTTTCAATCTTAGGTATGAAAACTCAAGACTATTAGTATCAGATATATTAGATCCATTATCTCATTATGATTGATATACTAGGGAATGCTGTTTTCTTCTTTTTAGTCCATTTGTTCAAACAAAATGACTCGCGCCAGGAATTTTCTTAAACCCTAGAGGACCAACCACACATGTGTGTGGAAAATTATGTCACACTAAATTTTCGTCCATTTTAAATTTAACCGAGGCGAAATGGGATTGATATTGCAGTTAACCGCTGACTAGTGTAACGAGGCTCAAATTTTTGAAAACAATTCGCTCGAAGCACAAATTTTCGAATTTTAAAGAATTTTTTCGTATCTTACTCGTTGAAATTTAAGCTGGCCCTTTAAATTTGGTGTCAACAAATGTTGTAGATCAATTTTTCTGGTCATAAAACCTGAAATGACTACAGATTTTGCGCCAGTTTTAACTTTTGTCGACAAGGATGAGTTTGCTATTGCCAACCTAAACATAAATCGAGTAGTCCATGTGGATTCTGACGATGAAGCTCCCTCTGATGGAAATAGTTCTGGTAGTAGTTGTGTTCAGAAGACTCTAGTGAAGAATACGAAGACGTAGATGAAGAGTTTGATAGCACTGAACAAGATTACACGAAGCTAAAATGGTCATCTCGTATACAAGTTCCTCAAAACAAAGATTTTAATGAGGAAGTTGGTCTAAGGGTTGATATGACTGAAAATAATTCAAGTTGTCTCAGTTTCTTCGAACTTCTTTTCACTGATGATGTTTACCAGCTAATCAAGGATGAAACTATAAGATTTGAGAGGCAGAAAAGCAATTTAACTGATGATTTATCAGGCAGTCTTGACAATTTAAGTGTGGCAGAGWTAAAAGCATGGCTTGGCCTAACATTAGCAATGGGTTTAGTAAAAAAATGGACTTGAAAAATTACTGGTCAACTAATGCTGTCACGAGCACTCCACTCTTCAATGCTCTCCAAATCCTGAGGTACTTGCATTCTTTAAACAATGAAAATGCACCAGACCCCAATGATGTAAACAGGATAAACTGTGGAAGATAAGACCATTCTTGGACATTCTTCTCCCAAGATTTACAGACGTGTATGCTCCATCACAGAATTTATCCTTGGACGAGACCTTGATCAAATTCAAAGGTCGAGTTCAATTCAGGCAGTTTTTACCCCTGAAGAGAAATCGATTTGGAGTAAAGGGGTTTGTCATTGCAGATTCAGCAAATGGCTATGTCCTGAATGTAACAATTTACACCGGAAAAGAAGGTCCCGCTACAAGTAAGGATCTTGCTTTACGAGTAGTGACAAGTTTGGTTGAGCCGTACACTGACAAAGGCTACCGCTTGTATGTTGACAACTGGTATACAAGTGTTCCATTCTTTTTGTAGCTTGAGAAAAAGGGCATTCTAGCTTGTGGTACAGTAAGAGGCAACAGAAAATACTTGCCTCAAGACATCGTAGATATAAAAACCAGCAAGTATAGAAAATGGCAAGGGGAGAGTCTTTTTTTTAGACAATCTGGCAACCTCATTTGTGTCACATGGAATGACAAAAAGTTAGTACATCTATTGTCAACCCTTCCAAAAGGTCCAAAACTTGACCAAGTGCAGAGGAAAGTAAAATCACAGGGCAAGTGGGAAAAAAAGAATTTTCCACAACCAAAGCTGATCAAGATGTAAAACACACACATGGGAGGTGTTGACTTAGGCGACCAGAAGATTGCAACATGTTCCAGGGTGATGAAGGGAAATATCTGGTACTACAAAATCTTTTTCCACTTGTTAGAGGTTGCAGTATTGAATGCCCACATTCTGTTCAAGATATCTACTCGACAACGTTGCACCCTGGGTCAGTTCAAAGAGAAGCTTATCCAAGAGCTTGTTGCTACAAGGATCAATCAACAGCAGGTTCCAGCACCTACACCACCATTGCAAGATGTACGCTTCAACCACTCAGTGTTTCACCATCCTGTTAAAACTGACCTGCGCAGAGAATGTAAAGTACATTCCCATCAAGTACTCACCAAGTTTTAATGTGGAATCTGCCGTGTTTACATGTGTCCAGCTCCGTGTTTCCTAAGGTATCACACTTTACGAGAATACCTTTTTGATGATCCCTCAAGAGAAGGAGCAAAAATAATCAAAGACGTGAATGAAGGCCAAGAGCGGGACCAGGAAGACCACCACAAAGAAGAKCAAGATAAGAATTAATTCATATTTTGTTCAAAATTGTTTTTTTTTTTGTTGGTTTTCGTCATTGTTGAAATATTCTCAGTCATTACGSAGAGCTATTGTATAATTTTTCAGTATATCTTGCATTTTTTGACTAGAAAACACCAAGCAATCTAATTACTCAACTTTATTTACTCGTATTGTAATGTGAAAGGAAACTTAATATCACATTTCAGAAATATTTTGGTGAACAATGACTTCAATATCCAATCGCTGACAATTTTCAATTTTTCTAGCACTTTAAAGATTTTTCTTTTTTTCTCTTTAGTCTCATGTGATATTGTTATGAAAAAATTGCAATTACAGAATAATAGCTCTTTAAAAATGTATAGGTTTATAGGGTATATTTTTAAGAAAGAGAAGTTATACATGAAAACCGTTGACTGTATTAAAGTAAGTGAAAAAACCCCTTCCCCTTGGTCTACAAGGGGTTAAATAACGTTCCAATAAACATTTGAAGTTTTACTCCTTTTTATATAAAACTCTGAATTGCTGGAAGAGTGTAGAAGCGCCTCCCTGTCTTGTTTTCATGGAGGGAGATAAAGGACATCTCTTCAATAAATTTCAAAGAAAAAAGAGAGTTCTTTATGTTATTTGTGTTTTAAAAGAGTTATTTATGTCACTCATTCTGYTCATTTGATGAGCATATTTAGTAACACACCGATGGCTCCTTATAAGCTTTCTTTCTAAGTAAACAAACATTCTCTCTCTTTTTATATTTTGAACTTGTTTCGTTAAAACAAAAGATCACAGCACGTGTCCAAAATCTGATGAGCTTTTTATTTGTCTTTCAAATCACTGGTTCACACAGCTTTTTGGCCCGTCATTACACAGAGTAACTGAAAAAAACTAGGGAGGTGTCTCCCTAAATGAATGTAACTAAATAAATTGTAGCTTTTCCCAGCTGTTTTTATCTCCATATTCCCTCTATTTAGAAACACAATCCAGACAATCCCTTTTTTCAACATTTACACTGTCATTTATTGATAATACATTGTAAATTATTTATTCATCTTTATCAGCGTCAGGGATCATAATGTTGTATCAGAATTCTCTTTTTAGTATTTCTACTGTTAATAGACTGCAGCTGGGTGATTGTGAATTAGACAATGAATGTGTTACGATGATATGTGACATGTATAATTCTCTTTTTAGTATTTCTACTGTTAATAGACTGAAGCTGGGTGATTGTGAATTAGACGATGAATGTGTTAAAATAATATGTGACCTGCCATATAATTCTCTTTTTAGTATTTCTACTGTTAATAGACTGCAGCTGGGTGATTGTGAATTAGACGATGAATGTCTTAAAATAATATGTGACAGGGATCATAATGTTGTATCAGAATACTCCCTTTTCGAATTCTCGACGTCCATTTCGAAGACCGCTGAGCAATGCTTACAGGCGCAGTCAATTGACGTCGAAACGAGGTTAATACAGCGTAATGCTTATAGCAATACAAAATAACAGTGCAAAAACTTGAAGTCTATCTCTTAAAAACGATCGTCGATCGATTTTATCGTCAAAATAATACACAAAGACCTTCTTTATCTGGATTGATCAGTAGAAGAAGGCAATGGAACACAAAAAGAAGCGAAAAATGTCGGGTTTTGGCAGAGAATGTGCATGTTATGGCTGTTCGAATGCTCAATATTCCAAAGATGGCGGAACGTCGGGGCTGAGTTTGTTCAAGTTTCCACAAAAAAATCCGCAAAGAGATCGTTGGTGCAACCTGATTAAAAGGCAGCACGGAAGAGATGGTTTTTCAGTCAATAATCTGACTTTAATTTGCGAAGAACATTTCCGAAAGGAAGACATTTACAGGCCTCCCGGAGGTACACAAAGCCGTTTGAGAGAAGGAGCAGAACCTTCGATTTTCCCTTGGAAATCGAGTGAAGTCAAGCCTCAGCGACGTGTTTTAGTAAGGCAAACAAACAATCCCGAACCATCCGTCACGACTGAATCACTGTCGGTGTCTACAAAGACTGATGTAAACTTGGATGAAATGGAAATAGAAGATGCTGCGAATGTCGTAACTGTTAGTAGTGAAAACTCTAACATGCATGTTGTCGAACCCACTGTAGTCGGACCAATCAAACCTCGTTATCAAAAAAAAGCAGTTCAAACAGAAATTGAAAGTGATTCACCTGAGACTAACTCCACTCAAGAGCACAGTTACTCTTTCTCCTTTGCCAGCAAAAGAGATACATTTGGTGAGCAGGAGGACTATATCAAAAAAATAGAAGACAAATTGGAAAAACAAACTGCTATCATTCATGATCTTCAGTCTCAAGTAGGTGTTCTGAAAAAACAGCTGGAGGAGTATGAAAGAAAGAAATTCAGCATTGAAAAATTCAAGGATGATGACAGTGCCATTCTATTTTATACGGGGTTCCCTAATTACAATGCTTTGGTGGCGGTGTATGAGTACCTCGAACCAAAAGTTGGAAAGCTACAGTACTGGAATGGACAGCTTGCTCCTGACACTAAAGCATACTAAATCATCGTTGGATCATGAAAAACTCGTTTATTACCGTCCTGTATCAAATCTTAAGACTGTCTCTAAAATTATTGGAAAAGTTGTTGCTGATCAACTTTGTGCTTATTTGTCATCTAACAACATG